TGTCGAGTTGGTTCCAACTCATAGTGACTGTGTTTAGGGTTTCTGAGGAGCAGCCGGTAAGCTTGAACCAGTGAGCTTGAACCGCTAACCTTGCTGCTCAAACTGACTTTGCAGTCCAGCACATTAACCTGCAGTGCCACACCAGGACATAGTGTTTTCATAAATAAAGCAAAAAATAGAAACAACTCACTAAAAATGTACACTGGCATTAATTAGCATTTAACAAAAAAGAACATGTAAAAGTCTATGAACATGTTAAAAATATGTTCATCCTCTTTTGACCATACAAAGCACATTGAAACAACAAGATATCCATTTTCCTTTATTAGTATGGCAAAAATATTAAAGACTGATAAATATAAATGAGGTTACAAGGAAATGGTCAGTAGTTCACAGTAATGGTGGGACGTAAATGGATTCATTTTAAAAGGGCAATGTGCCATATGACGGGCATTTGAAATGTGTATAATCGTTAATTCATCAATTCCACTTTAAAGAATGGATGATGACACAGAAATACTCTCACAGAACTGTAAAGTTGTGTTTAGTGTGAGCCCATTTTTAAATAATATATGCGGATGTCATATGTGGGTGTGTGTATAATTGATGTACAAGAAAAAAAAAAGGATAACAGTTCTTAATCTCTGAATAACGAACAACTGGGGACTGAAAAAGGAAGCTTTTCTTTTTTGCCATAAGCAAGTATTACATTTGTAATAGAAAAACCAATAAATCTTCTAATAGCACAAGGCAGGGATTTTAAAGTCAACGGGAGAGCCAAAAACCAAACCAAGCCCACTGACATCAACTCAATTCTGACTTATAGTGACCCGATGTTGTTGTTGTCATGTGCCGTGGAGTTGGTTCCAACTCATAGCTACCCTATACAGGGTTTCCGAGGCTGTAAACCTTTACGGGAGTAGAAAAACTCATCTTTCTCCCACGGAACAGCTGGTAGTTTCAAACTGCTGACCTTGCAGTTCGCAGCCAGATTCATAACCACTACACTACCAAATGTTGTTGTTGTTGTTAAGTGCCTTCGAGTCGGGTCCGACCCATAGCGACCCTGTACGGGGTTTCCGAGGGTGTAAATCTTTACGGGAGTAGAAAGCCTCATCTTTCTCCCGCGGAGCAGCTGGTAGTTTCAAACCACTGACCTTAAGGTTCGCAGCCTGATTCGTAACCACTACGCTACCAGAGCTCCTTACACTACCAAATAGGACAGAGTAAAAGTGCTTCTTAGGATTTCCAAGACTTTTAAGTGTGGGAGCAGAAGACTCAGGTTCCTATAAAGCTGAAGTGAGTTTTCTGCATACCTCTAAAGAATGCCGCATTACAACAGGAAGATTCGAAACTACACATGCAGCAGCCTCGGGAAATGGTAAGGAAGCTTGCAGCATACCAGCGGCTTAAGTGGAGGAAAATAAAAAGCCACTCATGAGAACATGAAGTCCAAGGTCAGCACTCTTATGTTCAGGAAATCTTAAGCCAATAAATTAACACAAAGTACTGATTAGAGACCATTGAGCCCCTGAAGGCTCCACAGAAACAAATGCAGAACCACTCTGTAGGATGACTTCACTATGAGTTGGAACTGACTCAATGGCACTGACAACAACAATTAAGTTTAAAATTACTAAAAAGACAAAAACAAAACAAAAAAAACCCTTAATGAAAGAATGAATGCTATCAGAAAGAGAACAGGAGGCTTACATTAGATATGAACTATAGTTATTAAAAGAGATTTCATGACTGATGGAGTGGAATAGAAGAGACTTAAGGAAGCCAGGACACAGGTTTGAAGATATCATCCAGAATTCAGCCCATAATGTTTAGAGGAATTAAGAACTGCAGTGCAAAGAATAAGAAGATCTTAAAAAGAAAAGAGAAAATGAGTGGATATTATCTGTGACTGAAGCCATTGGACAGAAAAAATCATACTAATTACCACTAAACATATCGTAGAGAAACTTAAAAACCACAAAGAAAGCATCTGAAAAAGAAATCCAGAGAGAAAGAACATGATTTGACAAAGGAATGATAACCAATCTGACAGAGATTTCTTCTTAGCATTCAAACCAGCAATCCCCCTGCCGCTGAGCAGAGTCTCACTCACAGTGACCCTACAGGAGAGAGCTTAACAGGGTTTCTGAGGCTGTAAATCTTTATGGAAGCAGACTGGTTCATCTTTCTCCCACAGAGCAGCAGGCATATCTGAACCACTGACCGTTTGGTTAGCAATTCACCACTTAACCCACCATGCCACCAGCACTCCCTTCTTAGAAACCCCAAATCCACTGTCATCAAGTCAATTCCAACTCACAGCAACTCTGGATACAGTTTCTGAGGCTGTAAATCTCTACAGGCGCAGAAAGCCCCGAAAAAGAGGGTCTCAAAGTGCTGGGGAAAAATGATCTGAAGACATTGAAAAATAAACAAAGACATTGAAAAATAAACAAAGATCATTTCTAACCCTCCAGGGAAACTACAGGCTGTACTACAGTAAGAAGGGTTCAGAAGGGTGAGATTCAAGAAGCAACTTTGAGTGAAGAAATTTTTAAACATTAAATTTCAGTCACTAAATGATACCTGAAGAAACTATTGAATTGATGTATATACTATACTCTCAGCAATTCACAACAAAATAAATCAAATTATATTTCAAGAAAGAAAGAAAAGTGAAAACTAAACTTCTTTTAATAAATTAATTTGGATGGTTTAATTTCAGGGCATTTAAAAAAGAATGTGAGAGATAAATATTAGGAAATGGAAGATCAAGTGGGATAATCTGAATTAAAACATTCTAAGAACTCTGATAGCGTAGTGGTTACGAATTGGGCTGCTAATCTCAAGGTCAGCAGTTTGAAACTACCAGCGGTTCCATGGGAGAACAATGAGGTTCTCTGCTCCCATAAAGATTTACAACCTCAGAAACCCTATGCAGGGTCACTATACTGGGATTTAAAATACTGGTGGCATAGCTTCCAGTCTCCCAGCAACACACAAGCTGCCACAGTAGAACAAACTGACAGGTAAGTGGTGGATTAAGGGGTGTATTGTTGTTAAGTGCTATTGAGTTGGTTCCGACTCGTAGCTACCCTGTAGAGTGTTTCTGAGGCTGTAAATCTTTGTGAGAGCAGAAAGCCTTAACTTTCTCCCAAGGAGCAGCTGGTGGACTCAAACTGCTCACCTTGTGGTTTTCAGTCCAGTGATTATCCTACAGAGCCACCACACTCCTTCCAGTATTCATGCTCTTGTGTAGTTCTCACCCATAATGACTGGGATAAGCAATGGGAGAGTAGCAGTGCCGTTACTACTCTTGGCCGCTCCATTGTGGAACCCCCCTACCACACTATAGGGAAGTACAGGTCATCCTGCTGGAGCACTAGGACTGGAAATTGGGTGAGCCAAGTGAAGCAGCCACCCTCTGGTCTGTGCCTGCCTCGTCCTAATCCTGGTCTTGCACAGAAAGGCCCTGCAAGATACATCATGGAGAGAGAGCCCTGTGGAGGGGAACTGAGGCACACAGGTTGAGCATCCAGCTGAATGGGGTCAATTCAGAGACTCCAGTTGACATCAAGTGGGGCTGAAAAATAATCCAGTCAGTCCACAGAATCATTAGAAAGAAATTCCAGTGCCTTTGAAGCCACTACATATGGGATAGTTTTTATTAAGCTGCAAGAGATAACTGAGGCATCTTAGTTCATACACACACACACACACACACACACACACAAACTCATGTGCAACTCAAGGTAAACAGGAAAGAAAGCCTGAATTGAGAATGTTTCTGCCATCTGACAGACTAGAGACTCTTACTGTACATTAAGCGTAATTATAGAAAAAACAATATTACTCTTCTCACATGCTTAAACTTGTCTAAAATTTACATCTTCTCCATGAACTACCATAACAAGACAAAATTAAGCTGACCGTTTCTCACTGCTTAGGTAGTGGGCAGACAGTGACTTTGCCTTCCCAGCACCTTTACCCTTACTTTGGTAACGTATCCCACTTCCTCATAGGGAAATGACCTCTCCTCCATCCTGTGGTCACTTGGGGGCACTGCAGTCAGGGGCCCAGCTTGCTCCTCGCAGTATGTGAGCAACTCAGGGCCAGCTAGAACTTCTCTCCCAGGACCCACCCACACGAGAATCCGAAGTCATCCAGCCTGCCCTATGCCAGTGGTTCAGAAAAGACGGTCCCAGGGTTTCTGCTACGAAGTTCCTTGGACCATCTTGGGCTCCTCTGCACCTCAGTGTTTGCCAGCTACGCAGTACCTTCTAAAAAACTTTTCTCTAGATTCAGTAAGAATTGGTTTCTGTTGTCTGACAACAAAGAGCTCTCACTGATACAGGACATGGGCAGCTACGGCAGAGATTCACTGCTGTTCTTTGTACTTTTCAGTGTGGAGGTCACATGGTTGGACCACGTATTGGCCTGGGCAGCCGCAATTCTTGCCAAAATGGTCACTTGAGGGAGAAGTACTGATTTATCTGAATGGAAGTCTGTCAACAACGCTTTGAAGAACACTATGCTGCTGGGTCCACTGTCTTGGCCCCCTCCCCAGAGAAGTCTTAGTGCCCCAGTCTGTAAGCAGCTCTCTTGTTCTTTGTAAATTCCAGACTTAAGTCTAGCCTGTCTTCTTCCCACCAACTCTTCACCACCACCCAGAAGAGTGGTGTTGATCCTAGATTTTCATTATTGGGGGATTTAATTACTCCAGAATCTCTTGTTGAGATGGCCACTTCATGTCCACATGCCATGAGACAGTCCCATTTGTGCACTGTCCCCAAGATTGTGATGCACTTAGGAGAGGGTACATGACTCATGGCCGGGAATGCCCTAGACCAAGCCGGAGGAAGTCAAGCTATTAGGTGGGGTGGACCCAGAGTGGGGTGAGGCCTGGCCCCAGGCCAAGGGGGGTGCCTTTGTGCCAGGCTGTCCACCCCAACCCCATGCAAGCCCATGAGAGAGTGGCCCCAGGTGCCAAGTGTTACCGTTTCTGTAGGACAGTGACAAACTCAGTGAGCCGGTCGCGCTCCACCTCGGCGGCCTGCCAGAGGGCCTTAAACTCTGTTGCCTGTGTCTGCCAGCTTTTTTGTTCTGGGGTCTCCAAGAACCTGGGAACAGGGGTAGTGGACAGAGGGCAGAGGTCATCTGAAGGGTGGCTTGAAGACGCCTGTAGCCATAAAGGGTACTGGAAGGACATTCAGGGGCCCTCAGAGACAGCCAGAGAGAAAGATGCCAATCCAGTCCCTCCTGCTCTGGCTTCCTCCAGCGTTAAGTGCCTAAAGCTACACTTAGTGGGCTCCTAAGCCAGACACTGAGGGCTAGAGCTGCCTGGGCACCTCTGGACATTCCATCTCCATAGGGGCATGGGATTCTGACTCTAGGGCCCTGGATGTGCCCTGGGTACCCTGTGCGACCTCTGGTTATCATGCCCAATACTAGGTGGACACAGTCTCTGTCTTCCTGTCAGCCTGTCCTAGTCCTCCTTTTGTCTGTTGCTTGGCCTGAAGCTCAGTTCATGTTCCCAGAGCCTGGACACCTTGGCCTTGTGATTTGGTCAGTCTTCTCCAGCCCTGACCCAGCCTATCACTGCGTCTCCTCTCAACCCTAGGTCTGCCTCCCAGCCCCATCTGCTGTCTGGTCCAGGACTCATGTATGAGTCACACACAAGCTGCTCTTGGCCTTGTCCTGCCCCTTTCCTGGTGAGAGCCTGGGTTTGCTCTTCCAGCATGAAAGGACATAAGATGGGTGGGCCAAGGGCTGGGATGGGACATGCGACCTTGGACAGATATCTTTCCTTCTCTGAGCACTGAGGGGCTGGTTGAGATGGGCTTGAGGACTGTAGACTCTTCCAATCTCTGAATCCTAACTTGGCTCAAAGGCCTTGTAGTTCTAAATGTCATCACCTGGAAGCTGTTAGAAATGCAGACTCCCAGGCTCCGGTGCAGAACTGCTGAAGCAGGGACTGCGTTTACATGAGATGTCAGGTGATTTGGGTGTACAATGCAGTATGAAAAGCTGCTCCAAGTCACCTCTGTTGATTCTTAAATGGGCGGAGAGGGAGCAGGGAGAGGGGTTCAGACCATGCAGCCCTGAGACACACTGTGGGATCTGTCCTGTGAGCTCTGTCCCACCATGGAGGGATGGGAATTGGAAGCTCCTGTGGACAGGACAAGACCTGCACAGAGAGTCAGTTCAGTGAAGGAGCAAGCCGGCTCCTGCTGTCCATGTGGAGTGCACGGGTCACAGTCACCTAAACCTGGAAGGGAACTTGAGGGGTCACCTTGTCCATCCCTCTGCTCTTACTGCTGGAGAATGGGTCCCCTTGGGACTGCTCCCTCTCCCTATGGGTAACATAAGACCTCCCACGCTCAGGGCTGTGACATGCGCCCTTGTCGCTTAGAGCCAACCTACTTTCTGCCAAGTACTCTGAGACTCCTTGTGACCTACAGGGCTGACTTTGGCCCCATGGTCCCTGAGCTGCAAGTGCCAGGCCACAATACTGTAGGCACTGCTTGGGAGATAGCAGCCCAGAGAGAAACCTACTTGTCTAGAGTCACACAGCAAGTCCAAGGCGGGACTGAGGCTGACAGAGGTCAGAGGCAGGACAAAGTCACCCTTTGTCTGTGAGCTGGCAGGGGGAACAAAGGGCCCATTGAAGCCCTAAGGCTTGATTTTATCAACAAAAAAAAAGGACCTAAGAGCTGAGGGGCTATCCGTGGCTTTAAGTGGGAACCATATGACTGAACCTCTCCCCCCAGGGGACTGATTCTCAATGGGCAAGAAAAGGCAAGGGAAGGTGCTGGCAGTCAGACCCTGGAAGATTCCTTGTGCTGACTCTCTGGTCCTAGGAAGGTTCACTGCTCTGTGAGTCTAATCCTGAGACCTGCTTACTTTATCGCCTGAGACGAGAAACTGGACCTCCTAGATCCTCCATGTTCTTATGTAATCTTGGAAGAGTCCCTGGGCTTTCTGTGGCCTCAGTTTCCCTTCTTTTTAAATGTTGGCTGAGTAATCAAGGGTGGGAAGGTCCATGAGGGTCCAAGGGCTCTGGGTTCCATACCTGGGTGAGGCCCCGTGAGGACTCGGCAGTGAGGGCCGTGTGAGAGCAGATTCCACCAGTGTGTGGCCCAGGCAGGTCACGGAGCTGTGTGAAGATGGAAGGGGCTCATCACTGTGGGGAGGCAGGCTGGGCCCCACTGGGCCTCACCTCTGCACGTGCTCAGCTGAGAGGGGAGCAGGGATCCTGGCAGTCTGAGGAGGTGGCCAGCCCTGGCCCTCGCAGCAGCCCTGGCTGGGCAGTCTGTGGATTTGCAGCCCTTTCCAGAGCTCCTGCTTGCTCAGAATGAGACAGAACCAGGAGACAACCGAGCCTCAGACAATCAAATACAGGTCTCTCCCAGATTCCTAGGAGCTGATGTGTTTTGAGAGCAGCTCGGAGTGGATATTAAAGGGAGCTGTGATCCACATGCGCTCCTCGTCTCTGGGCCTCAGTGGATCCCCCCTGCAGATGGGGCGCTAATGTCATAGGAGAGACACACATATTGGAAGACCAGCTCTGCAGTTATCTTACAAACTGCTTCTGTGGCTGCCCACCAAAGACAGTAGCAAACAGTCTCTCTCCTGAGGAATTAATCTTCACTCTCCAACCCCACCATCCCTGGTTTTTTCTTACCGCGAAGATCCAAGCCTGCCAACATGATCGCCTGTTGAGGCTGGGGACTTGGTCAGGCCTGTGTCCTCTGGGATCCTGGAAGTGTGGCTGACATCAGGCCCACTGGATCCCTCACCTGTGCCTTTATTCCGGAGATACTGCAGGTGATAGACAAAGGTTTGATTCTTGAGGCTTTGGCTCAGAGGTCTGGAGAAGGCAGGAGAGGCTTGGCTTGATTTTGGTTCTTTCAGGGAGTATGAAAGAGGCTTCTTTGTAAGAAAGAAAAACAAAGTCTGTTTGGTGGAGGCACTGCTTGCATGATAATGACATCTAATAATGCCTTTCTTCAGAAAGGGAGCTGCATGGTGTGCGGAGAGAAGCTGAGCCCGGAAGTGGTTCTCGTTCAGGCCCCAAAAAGAGGTGTGCAGCACCCTCCCAGACAGGCTATCTCTTGTAGTGACCCACTCTCTGCAGCCCCACCCACACGCCGTGAATGTAAGCTAGGACCACTTGAGGCACCAGGAGCGGAGCGGGAGAGATTGGTAGGGCCTCAGCCAGGGTCAGTAGGCTTGGGTGGAAGCTGAGCTTCCTGGGACCCCTCCCTGAGCCACACCCCTCCCAGGAATCTTCTGGATATGTGATATGACCTGACTGAAGAAGAAACATTAGAGGACCCCTAGCAGATGGTGGATCTTCTCCCTAAACCACCTGAGATGACCCACAGTGTATGCTAACTCATCTGGTTGGTAGTGCTTGGCCAACTGGCTGGTGACCCCTGAGGCAAGGAGGAGTCCTTTCTAGAGCAGGGAGAGTGGAGGAGGTGGAGGTCCTGGCATGTCCCTGTGTGCCCCTCAGACGTCACTCCCCAGTGAGCCTGAACTGGAGGCAGGGCGAGGACTACATGCTGATGCCCTCCTCAGTGCACACAGGACTGTCCCCCTGCCACAGGGCTTCAGGTAATCCCCACCACAGGCAATCAATCCTCTGGCCCCAGGCTGTCCCAGTCCTCAGAGATAGCCACGTAGGCCAACCACCCCCTCCTGAGTCTGGGACAAGCATCTCCTGGGCTCCCACACCTCTGAGCGGACTACAGGGAAAGGCTGCTCTGTGACACACTTGAAACCAGTCACCTTCCCTGGAGCAAGAGGCCATCAGGCTCCTCCTCCACCAAGGGAATCCTTCCCATTGACACCCTCCCCAGCCCTCCAGCACCAGCATAGGAAGGAGCCACAGTGAGTCTAAGATGCCTGACTGACTCCATGCAGCCCCAAGCTGTGCCTTCAAATCAGCTGCCAAGGCAGACTAACCGGTGGTCACCCTTAGCAAGCCCAGATTGAGCATGAGCCATGGCCTCTCTGGACAATATGACCACAGTGTGACACAGGTGTGGCTTGGAGAAACACAGGGAGTTAGGAGAGGACCCAGAAGGCACACATAACACAGAATGTGGTCCTGGGAGCTTCCTGGAGGAGCCCTAAAGGCCGAGGGGCAGCTGAGGCTGTGTGCTAAGAGAGCCCATGTGGTCCAGAGTGGAAGGAGAAGGAAGGCATGCAGAGGACATGTAGGAGTGGTGGTACCCTGAAAGCTGGATGAAGAAGCTTGTCATCCTGCTGCTGGGAATGTGATGTAATGGCCGGAGCTGTAGCCATCATCTTGGATCATGAGGATGAGGGCCACAGCCGGGGATGGCAGCCAGGGAGCTGGAAGGAGCCCGAATCCTTGAGGAACTGGGAGGCAGAGGATCATGGCGAGGCATGAACAGGTTTTAAGCAGAGCAGGGACACAGTAGGGCTTGTATTTAGAAAGGAAAGGTGTGTGTAGAGTGGGCCTGGAGGCCAGATGGAAGCAGGTCGGATATGGTGTAGCCTGAGCCAAGTCAGGGAGAGAAAGAAGCGAAAAGAGCTTTTGGTAGACGTCGGATGGGTTTGCCGGGGCTGAAAATGGGTTCTGGGCCAGTGCCCTCCTCACCTGCATGCTGAGTTGCCCGATCTCCAACTCCAGTTGCTGCACCTTTGCCTCCCGCTCAGCTACCATGGCTCGCAGCTGGGCGACGAGACTGCTGCTCCGCTGAGCCTCACTGCTGAGCTGCTGGTCCAGGCGGTGATGGGATGCTCGTGTCTTTTCCTCCTGTAGACTCAGGCTGCCCAGGATCTCCTGTAGCTGCTTCAGCTGGTCCTGAGGAGTCAGGTGAAGGCAGGTGTGGGTTAGTCAGGGTGTCTGGGAAAGGAGGACAAGGACAGGCTCCCTCCTTTCACCTCCAGTGCCCAGTTACTAGACAGTGGCATGCTGACTCTTCCCTTGAGAAATGGAGGAACCTTTTTCTTGCCTGCCCTTGGAGCTCAGAAGGTTCTCACCAGACCCCCGGGGACCATGCTTTCCTTCTCTTTGTCTCAACTTCTTTCTCTCTGAGATTGGGACCATGGGGAACATCCAAGGACAGTGGGAGACAGCTCACTTCAGTTGGTGGGGGAGAGAGTTGTGTGATAAGAAACCCTGATCTCACTTTGCTGGGAGACCACCAGGGAGGCTGTACCTGGACCTCTTACAGGGATCTTTAGGTTTGAGGTTTCAGCACCTGACTGGGGCCCACCGTCTCAAGATGCCTCCAAGGAGACTCCTTGGGCAGAAACTTCCTGAAGCAACATGTCAGTGATTTGGGCCTGGTGGGCTGTTGTCCCTGTCTCACAGATGAGGAACCTGAGGGCCAGAGAACCTGAGGGACCAGAACTAGTGAATGGCAGTTGTATGCCACCTTCAGTAACAAGAATGGGGTGGGGGGCACACAGAGACTGGCAGAAGACACTGCCTCACACCTTTAGTTTTAGAATTGGGTAGCTGAGATCAAGAGGAAATGCAAATGGCACAGGGTCACATGGTGAGGTTACAGGCAGAGCCAGAACTACAGGTCTCATCTCATAAAATTGTTATTGACTAAGGTGGGTGCCTGAGTCAGCACTGGGGCTCAAACATCCCAGCTGAGGCAGGCATGGCACCCCTGGGCTGGAGTTGTGGGTACCACAAGGAATTTAGACATCAAGGGACAGATGCTTAGGCTGTAGGCTCAAAGAAGCAGGGTGGCCTTGCTAACTGAGGAGGGATCTTTTAGTTTGTATTGTGAATTGAGTGATAGTTTACATGGGAGAATATCAGCTTTACATCATCATTTCTGCAATGATTACAGTCTCCTCCAAGCATCATCATTCAACAGTATTTGCTTCTATTCCCTCTGTTTTTTGGGGGGAGGGGGAGGAAATACTCAGGAATATAGAATAATTTAAACAACCAAAGGGCACATTCTGCAAGACTGCCTCCAGGCCACCAGCACACAGCCTTTCTCTTTCCATGAGTCTAGAACCCTCAACTGCTCTTTCTCCATGTCCCCATCTCTGCCTCCATCTCTGGTTTCACTGCTTCTCTGGAGAAGGTCCTGCATTCCGCTCATGCTGTTTTCCCTTGATGGCCCTAGGGTCTTCTGTTTCTGGACTGTAAAATTAACTCTTCCCCCATTTATGTTACAAAACTTCTACCTTTACAATTGTGACAGTTGCAATTAGTCATGATAACAGTTACTCACTATTGACTCATAAGAATCTTATCCCCATCTCTTTTAACCAGATCCATCTAGATAAGGTGAAAACTATTCAGTGGGGACTCGTATCTTCCTTCCCCCTCCCCCACTCTTAAAGTCTCTCTTGAAAACTTGTAAGCCAGTCACTTCGTGCCTTTATCACCCCCTCATTTTAGGTAGCCAATTACTAAGTTGCCCCTCCCTTTCTACCCTGTGTACAGAAGGGATAAGATCAATGCTTGATGTGAACACTCCTTCCTTCTCAGTTGGTATTTTGAGTTACTACATCCATAAGTATAGGCCCAGTTCATCAAATTGTAGCAATTTACACTTGGCTTCCTTTATCAAAAAAAAAATTTTTTTTTATTTTTATTTTTTATCTTCCTCTATTTGAGTTCTGATTATCGAGCCATCAAGGCTAGGTCAGATAGGTACTATCTGCAAGTTTGAGTGTTCTTGTGCATCCCCCTCACTTCATATCAGCTGGATGCTTCACTCTGAACTCTAGCCCCTGAGGAGGGATTTTACAGTTAGATAAACCAGGTGTGAACCCAGCTGAGGTGCCTTGTATAAATCCTCTAACTTAGCTTCCCCTCTGTGAAACGGGATTATACCAGATGACCAATAGGTTGTCATGGGCTTGCCCAGTGCCCAAAAGAAACACTGCTATCACACAATTTGTACTGGCCCCTCAGCTGTTCCTTCTGTTCCTTGATGTTAAACAACCCAGGTGGAATCCCATCCCTTTCCTCCATACACATTTTTTTCTTCACTGGGGTTTGTAGTCAGCCTTCCAGCCTCTATATGTGCCGGGCAGCCTCTCTGACTGCTTCCGTCCCTGGACAGTGTTTTGGGGCTGGAACCCATCTGGAAGCAATAGGCTTATAGGTTAGGTAGGCGGCATTTGGAGGCAAGTTAGCCCCATCTGGTGGGAGCCTTCTGAGTGGGGATGGGGACATCCTTTTGGGACAGGGCCCTGGCTCTTGCCCTGCCTAAGTGGCTGGCCATACCATAAGGGCATCGATAAGCTCATCATCGTGCCTGCCCTTCTCCACCAGGGTGCCCATCTGGTTCCTCAGGGTCTTCACTTCGTTAGACAGCACCTTGTTCCGAGACTTCACGCCGTCAAACTTCTTTTTCAGTTCTTCCAGCTCTCGTTGGAGGGCGTCTCGCTCACTCGCAAGTTTCTGTAACCAGGACGTGCAACCATGGGCAGCAGGGCTTAGAGAAACTATGACCACCTCTAGTCCCTGACTCAGTCACTGGGGAGGCCCAGTAGACTCCCCAAGTAGCACTTCCAGCCCAGGACTCTCAGGGTTGTCTGGCAGGCCTGCAGCCTCCTTCCCGTGCCCTGGCACATAGCAGACATCACTAATAGATGGCAGCATTCTGCTCCACAGTCTGAGGACACAGGCTCCCAGGCAGCTGCCCCTGCTCTGTCAGAGATGGGACAGGAGAGGAGAGCCACTGGACAGTTCCAGGTGTGTCCTCCAGAGATCATGACTGTTCCCACCCTCTGCCACTACCTGAGCTGGGGAAAGAGAGAAGCTTTGGGTCCCGCCAAAGTGTCTCCCCCAACCAACAGTTAGAATGGAAGGAAGGTTCCACTAGCCACCCCATTCTCTCATGCCCTCCACATAAATCCAGGACATTCCCTAGATTCTGCCTTGCCTTAGTCAGCTAAAAGCTCATGTGCTGCCCATGCCTTTGGGAGTCTCTTAGTCATTCATTCCTGCATTCTCAAATATTTCCTGAGGGTTCACTATGTGTTTGCTTGGGATACAGCACCTAACGAAAGCTCCCTGAGGGACACGCATTACCTCCCAGCCTTCCTGCTTCTCCCTTTCCAGGTTCCGGATTCTCAGCAGGTTCTTCTCCGGGGCCGACAGCTTCCTTGGGTCTGAATGCATGGATGGCTCATCACCAGCTGTCCCTGCAGACCGGCTCTGGGCCTGTCCCAGCTGCTTCTCCAGTTCTCGGACCTGTGGGTGGTAAATCTCATTGTTCTATATAGGCTCTGCAGTTACAGACTTCCCCACAGAGGGACTGCCCTGGGGTTTGACGGGAGACCCCACTGTTCCAGGTAGTTACGGGAACCCCATATGAGAGGGACAGGCAGGGGAGGATCAGAGTTGGGATTCTGTGCAAAATAAAGAAGACGCTCAGAGAGGGTTTGCTTAAGAAAGAGAACTTCAAAGTAAATGAGAAAAATCACTCCATCTCTGAAGGACAATTTGAGGCCGAGCAGCAGACATATGGCCTCCAGGAATCTGAGAGGGAAAGGCAGAGGTTTCAATACAAGGAAGTTCTCCCTAACAGAGGGAACACTGATGATGGGTTGAGCTTCTCAGGAGACGATGGGCTCCTGATCACTTGCAGGGGATGAGAGGAGAGCAGGGTTTGGAAGCCAAGAGACTGGCTCAAAGCCTCACTGTCTATGTGACTGTACACAAGTTATTTCTCTGAACCTCAGTTATCTCATCTTTGAAATGGGCCCAATGACATACACCCTACATAAGGTTTTCATGGGGAGTCAGTGAGATAATGCAGGCAATCCCAAACTTACCTAAGCCTGGGACTCCTCCAAGATACTCTGTAAAATGAAAAGTCTTGGGGTTTATTTTAAAACAAGTCAGAAACTCAAGGGTATCTTTATTTTTTTTTAAAACAAGTGCTATGGGATATTTTTGGAACATGGTGCTAAAGGATAAAGCCCTGGACCACAAGGTTGGTTTGAAGTGTAAGGTCAGTAGTCCAAATTCACCAGGTACTCCTGGGAAACCCTATACAGGGTCACTATGAATAGGCACTGACTCGAGGACATTTAACAACAACAGAATATTTTTAGGATGAGGTAATTTTGTCCCAAAATGTCCCTAGTGAAGCCCTCAGCATGGATCCTGGCACATACAGGCATGTGGCAGGTAAACATCATCCCATAGAGTCATGGTTTCAACAGCCTGGCATTGAAACAAGTCATTACTAGGACCCTTCTAACTTTGATTTCTATGGAGTAAGATTGGGTAAACCAGAGCCAGAAAAGGAGGCAAAAATTCATCAGTATCCCTGGCAAATGTGGCTGCATTGTTGCCAGCGCCCTCGTGTGTCTCTGTGTGGTAATTCCATGTGAACGTTGTTAAGTACCACAGAGTTAGTTACAACTCATGGCATCCTTGTATTGGGTTTCCAAGGAGTGGCTGGTGGGTTTGAACTGCCAACCCTGCGATTCAAATCAATCCTTCAGTGCTACACCAGGCCTCCATTTAAACATTAAAGAACCCAATATTTTAATTTGTTGAGGGCTCATTACGACCAGGTGTTACTTCACTCGACTTCACAACAACCCTGTGAGGAAGGTATTATTATTATCTCCATTTTACAAGAAAGGAAATGGAGGCACAGAGAGATGAAGGAATTGGCCCAAAGTCACAGAGCTTGTGAACTGTGACAGGCACCAGACTCAAACTTAAGGCTCTTACTTTGGACCTGGAGAGAGAGCGGGGTGGTGTGCGGACGACAGCAGGGCAGGCTTGCGGGGTATACCCTTTGGTTGATTGATGATGTGTGGAAGGGATTGTAACCATGGGTAGGAAACAATATATGACGGGATCAATGTGAAGCTGATGTTCTCCCGTGTAAACTATCACATAATTCACAATTAAGCATTAAACAAAAACAAAAACAAAACTTAAGTCTCTGGAGTCCCAAAGCCACACACTCATCATCAAGTACAGCTCTTTGGAACTCTTCCCCCTGAGCTTCAGGTTAACTTTAAGAATCCCACAGGAAACCCTGAGGAGTAAAAGTTGCTGGGGAACTGTGAACGGAAACTCCCTGGGATTGAAGGGAATACGCTGCAAATAGTGGACATCACGGCCTGTTAATGGGTTTCTCAGTTTGAAGGTAAAAACATAAAAAAAAGTAACAAACAACAAAAGAAAAACCCCGAAGAATAACCACAGCACACCTCTGAAACTGTGTTGAGCACTTGACACATTCTCTCTTATTTCGTCCTGCTAACTACCCCACTATCATCACCCCCATTACACAGATGAGAGGACTGAGGTACAGAGAGATGAAGCAGCTTACCCAAGGCTACACAGCTGCTGAGCCAAGAACAGGGACTGGAGGCCCAGCAATCTAGCTGTACGTATACTCCAAAATGTTTAGAAACTAAAGAGGAAGACAAGTTCTGTTTTTATTGAGTAATTAAAACTTTCAAAAGACTGCAAGCATCTGGACCAAACTGTTTGGAAGAGACTTGCAATTATAACAGTCACGCAAATTTATATGAGCCAGGAAAAAATATGTCTGGAGTAAAATAAATCAAGTCAGAAGCGTTTGCATGTGTTATATACTTAGAGCAGTGCCTGGCATGTGGTGGTGTGCATGTGCTTGTTCAGTCAGAGGGATGTAAAACCACAGTGCTGTGTGTTCTGCTCTGCTAAAGACCTTCTTTAGGGGCGGTGTGTGTTAAGCTCTTGGGTGGGTCAGCGTGGGGCTTCCTGGGACATTTCGAGTCCTTGGTTCAGGGCCAGAAGTGTGCCGACTCACTCACCTTGCTCTGCAAAACAAGAATCTGCTGAGCCCGACCCCGCCAGGTCCCAGGGTTGGACAGGAGCTGCTGGATGTTCACATCTTCCCCAACCTCGCTGACCAAGACCTTAAATGACATAAGACCTTAAGCACAGCCTGGGGAAAGGACTCTGCTGAGCCCCTAATGCTGTGTATAGTTCAGAAGCAATGTGGGGTGCATGGGGCTCCCCAGAGGGCCCTACCTCCACCTACACAGCCTCCCTCTACTTCAGTGTATGGAACTCAAAGGCCAGATTACCCCAATTGATCCCGGTACAGCCATCCTGGGAAGTAGTGTAAACCCATCCTCCCAGCATTTCCCAGTCAGTGCTGAGAGCAGCCTAGCAATGCCCTGGGATGAGCGAACCACGAAACAGACTACAGCCTGCTTCCTTAGCCTGTTTGGCAGTCACCTAGATTCAAGCTAATGATGGAGACTTGCAGAAAGGAACTGCCACAGGGCCTTGCTCTCTGTGAAAAGCCACCCACAAGTGGCCAACTCTGGATGTAGCAAGGAGCATCAATCAGGGATGCTGTGGTTCCCAAAAGGAACAGTTCTGTGGCTCTGGAAGGATGGCACTCCGGCCCTCCCTCAAGGCTTTGAGGTGGACACAATATGCTTCAGTTTGTGACATGGGCCCTGGAACCTGTCACAGAAACCCGATCCCAGGGACCAAGTCTCTGGAGCTTGTTTCCACAATAGAGTACTGTTTGGGAAATCTTGGCTGGTCTGAGCCGTTCCAGCAGGGAAGACAAATGCCAGAGAACTCACTATGTAAATAATAATAAATAACGAACCAGCTGGGCCTCTGTCCCAAGTCTGAACATTCTCCTTTGAAAGGGGCCTTTCATAAACAACCTATTCATTTTCTACTAATACAGACAGCAGAGGGCAGGGGGAAGGTTCCAGCAGGCTCCCAAGGCCAAGGTGCTGTATTTACTAAGGAGAGATTTGGGCCTTGGACCTGTGTTTCGAGTACTGTGCCTTGGGGTCCAGAGTGTGGAGAGCACCACAGGGCAGGCCTGGGTGCTCCGGTCCAGAGCACTTGTGTTTCTGAATGGAGCCTGTTGTCCAGACTGCATACTTCCCACACCCAACCCCAGCCACAGGAGGCCTGAGTGCAGGCGCTGGAATACCTTCTGGGCCACCCTGAGCTCCTGCTTCACGGCCTGGACCTGGTTGCGGAGGTCACCCAGCTTCAGGTTGGCAGTGGCCAGCTTCTCCTGCAGGGCCTTCACCTCGGGGCTGTCTGGCTGTTGGGGAAGGAGGCAGGCAGTCACGTGTCTGAACAGTAATAATCATCACAGCCCCCACTATCCAAGCCTGGGCTCTGTGCTAAAGGGCTTGGCATGGAGTAGCTCACGTCTCATCTACAGACCCTGAGAGGGTCTGTTAGCCCACTTTACAGATTGTTAGACCACTTTACAGATGCACAACGGGCACCTGGTTGGTAAGGGTGGAGCGTGCATGTGAGTCCTGGCCATCCCACTTTGGGGGCTGAGTTCTTTGCATACATACACAGACAGGCCCACATGCAGAGGCCAGACTCCTCTCATGGGCGGGCTCAGAGGCAGCAAAACCACCTTCACGACAAATAGAGTGGGAACTAGCTCACTGGTCATCCTAACTCGGGAATTCCCTTTCCTGGGAGTCACCAGGCTGGGCCTTGGCCTTTCTTTCCTGGCAGTGGCCCACCAAACAGAAGGAAGGACCAAATTTAGTCCCCCAAATATGCCATATCTGTAGCTTGAAGGCTTGCAGACACAATGAAAACCCTGCCTGTTGGAGCTCAGCAATGTCATCAAAAAAATAATGTAACTGATTTAAACCATTTGGTTGTACATTTTTCTCAGAGACATCACCTGCTTCTCTATTTAAGAGATGTTACTGAGCGCAGGCTGAGGAGACGTTTCCCATTAAAGGAACCTTCAAGGCCAGGCCATTCAAACCCCTTCCTGAGTAAGACCCAGAAAGGAAGTTAGTTGCCCTTGGAGGTGGCACAGGGGGAGTAGAAGCCCGGTTCTTGCCATGCACTGGCTGGTTCTCCAATTGAACCTCTGGTTCAACAGGAACCATCATCTCATTGACCCTCATGGCATCGAGGCAGAAGAAACATGAGCTAAGTAAGCATCTTGCAGGACCATCTGGGCCTGCCCTAACACACTTGGATGGGTGGGCAGTGCAGTGTCTTTCTCATCTCAGAAGTTGCCAACAAGACTTCTTTCACAGTGGGAAAGACCAATGCCAGTAGATGTGTCCAGGAAGTTTCATGGATCCCAGGGACTCTGTTGGCAGAGCTGAAAAACCAGCTACACCTGGACAGTTGGTCCACCAGCCCTGGCCTGGTCTGTTTCTTCATAGGTGGAATAGGTCTAAAAAGACTTCCCTCTCCTGTTCCTCACAGCGCCACCAAGAGGCTAAATAGAATAACCAATATGAACAGACTTTGCAACCTGAAAATTTATTTTAAATTAAAAAGTGTATCCTTTTATTCTTTTGTTAGTATATTATTTTTTTCTGTGGCCTTCCCCATTTGGCTGCCTGCCATTCCTTCTCACTATTGTTGGGTGCCTGTCTCCTGTTTCTTCCATGCTAATGTGCTGCTTTGAATCTGCCCTGCAATGGGAAACACTAAATGCCCTAGCCCTGATCTGCAGTGCTGGGAGTCCCCGTGGCTTTGATGAGTAGTAGAAGTGGAGAACTGTGGGAGCTTCCATGTGGTTGCTGGGACCTGAGTCACCTCTACAGTCTGCTCAGAGAGTGACGGGGGCACAGCCCTTGGATCAGATTTTACTTGGACTTAGAACTTAGGCAAGTGAGACCCCCTCCTCTGTAAAATGAGGGTATGTCATACCAACCTTAGAGTCCCCAAGTAGTGCAAACAATTGATGCACTCAACTGCTAACTGAATTGTTGAAGTTCAAGTCCACCCAGAGGGTGCCTTGGAAGAAAAGCCGGGTGATCTATTTCTGAAAAATCGACCACTGGAAACTGTGGAGCACAGTTCTGCTCTGACATCCATGGGGTGGCCATGGCTCGGAGAACTGTGAGAGTTGGCAATACATATAGGTCAGGAGTGCTGTCTGGGGCCCGGCTCTGACAGAGGGCCATGCCAGGCTTGGTGGGCAGACGGCAAAGGAGACCAGAAGCCAAGTAGCGTTTTAGAGTCCATGAGGGCCTGCATACAGGAGCAGTTATCATTGTTTCTGCCCTGCTCATCCCCAGCCCTCTTCAGCAGCTGGGCCAACCCCGCCTCCCACCAATTTAGAGCAGTTTCTACCCAGAGTGAAATTCCACAGGCTTTGTGGGGGACCTGGCTGTTTTCAGTCCACAGGGGACAATGCCAAAGCTGTTCACGCTGCCACAGCCAGTTCCTCCCTGGAATGGGCTGCGAACTCGGGCTGGAGCGTGGATGGGGTCTGCAGGCCCGAGTGTGACTCCGGTTGGGACCACCCTGAACAGTCTAGTGGGGGAAATGTGTTTGTGTTCTCCCTTGGATCAGGAGATGCCAGCAAAAACTCGTGGAGCTGATGAGCTGAGACTTGCAGCCCAAAACACACTCTCAATCACAAACCCCAGTGTCCCTGCAGTCAATGAATGAGGTTGAAACACTCACTTTAGCTGGATTCAGGGCCTCCCTCCATGACCTCATCTCAACTGTTTTTGGTTTGGTTCCTTTTTTCCCTTCATGGGCCCTGGCTTGCAAGCTGATACCCAGTGAAGCAAATGAACCGGCATTCCGTGTATTGCCGGCCTCTGAAAGCATTGCCCCCACCCCTCCTTCCAGCAGCAAGGTCCCCCTCAGGGACCACCCTCTGACTGTCTCACGTGCAGGGTGTGCTCCCTATGGGGAACTCCGCGTTCTCTTTGTTCAATACGGCATTTCATTGTCCCCCCTGGACCAGGAGGGGCCCTGTGGACAGAGGCCATGGTTTTGACTCCCTATATAACAGGCTCGGTGTATCAATCCAACTCAATATGTAGCTGAACAGGCAACTTCCTGTCCAGGGTATGCCTAGGGCCACAGAGGGACTCAATGGTCTGGAATGAGCTGGGCATCTTAGCAGCACCCCTCAGAAGTAGGGACAGGCCTCGGAGCACATTCAATCCAGCCTGTGCCCATGGAAGGGGCCCCTCAGTTACCTCTCCCAGAAAAGAGAGTTTACATACAATGGGCCTAAGGAAACAGATGAACCCTGGGTAGGCCCAAACCTCCAAACAGAGGCCCATCCCTGTTCACTGAGGATGATTTTCTCATCTAGATGACTGGGAGGTGGCCTGGTCCTGAGGTGTAGGCAATAGGGCTAATGGGGCTGAGGAAGGAGCACTCAACTGGGAGTCTCTGTGTCAGCAACTGGTCTATCCTCCCCCGCAAGAGACCCCTGGGAAGGCGTCCTGGGGTGCTCTTGAGACTATGATGCAATTTGTCTATCTGGTGTGGACTCCACAGTTGGACCAGGCCTTGCCTCCTGCACCTGAGGTTCCAGGGCTCCAGGGTCCTCGAGCCCTTCCTACCCTCTCTCTCTCTGGAAACTGAATTACAGCCTCCCCTCTCGGGTCAGAGGCTCAGCCACTATTTCCCAGTGCTCTGAGGACACTGCAAGGGTGGGCAACAAACAGCTGACTCAGGGCCATGGGGCAGGGGGTGGGCCCAGGGCAGAAACGTCAGCACTCGTGTGTAACGGGGGGCCCAGGCTGGCAACTGCCTTGCAGACACCCCAGTACAGAAGAGAATTCATACCAAGGTTCCGTCTCCCTTCTGGGCCTTTGAAGGTTTGGTTCCTGCTTCAGTGCTCCCCTGGGCTGGCAGCTTGGCCACGGCCTTCTGCAGCTGAAAAAGCAAACTTCTGCACTTAAAACCGAAATCTGCTCGGCAGCTGTGCGGCCCAAGTGAAGTGGTCT